TCCCCCTTAAAAAAAAAACCCCCGGCCCCCCCCCCCCCCCCTCAAGGATGGAATAAGAAATATCCACCTCTCATAGCTAAATAAAATAACCACATTTTTCTTCCTTACAGAAGGATTGAACAATGTTGGTGGGAGATTGTTAAGAATATATTTCCCATTTCGACGTTGGCTCAAAAATTATCTCACTGATTTTTTATATCAACGAGCTTTAATCGACATCATCTTATATGTCTGATGTTAATAAAAAGTCCTCGTATATCCTAGGCAATCTCGCAAGCTAGTCCCTGTTATTTCTACATTTTCACAAAGTCCAATCTGCAAATAAATGTAGTCCTTAAAATTGGTGAATAATGTCACGCTACTATTTCAGATAGCGTACACGCGACAAGTCATGGGCCCCTCTTTTTTGTGGCCTCTAGTTGACCTAAAGCCATATGATGAGCCGACCACACTATAGTAGCGGAGTCTTACAAGCGATATTGTTGTACATTGCAAGTCGAGTGTGCATCAACAGTTTATTACATATTTGATGGTGATTAAAATCAGATTTTCAGACGATTTTGATAAAATTTGATGAAACGTGTAATTCAAAACTTTTAGATTTTATGATATGTATGATTAAAATTAATTGTTAACCCAACTTAGATTAAAATTTGAATTTTAATATATACCAAACAAGAAAAATGATCTAATGGGCACCGATACTTAACTTATGTCAAGCACCAGTGACATGGTACACAAATTAATTGGTGAATCATTAAATTTATGGGATATACTATTAATATATTCACCAATTAATTAATGTGTCATGTCATTGGTGCTTAATATAAGCTAAGTATCGGTGCCTATGAGATCATTTCCCTACCAAACAAGACTTGACACCAATATAAAACTTGACAACAACAAAAAATTGTGTGATGAATTATATGTGAAATCTTTCGTTCGAGCAAAATTTTTGTCCGTCTGTCTTGCAACACCTAATTTAAATTTTGACTTAATGTTGAGTGCATATGGGGCTGTCCACTATCTTGGCGGCACCGGCCGAACATTTAATTCTCCTTCATTAGTTGGCTTGATCATTATAAATTTGGTCCGACAGAATTTGAGGTCAACTTGAATACATACCAAAAGAGGGATATGAACGGGGTAATTAAATTACCTATAAGATTATATAGAAGAATTTAAACTGGCGAAAGTGGCCCCAAAAGCTTGCTTAAATACCAGAAGAAGACAAAAAAATTTCCACAAGCAAGAGCAAACTCACAGACGTGTTTGAATAAAATGCTCTAAAGATTACGACGACAAGAAACACTCCTTAACGCACACGATTCCTTTATTTAAATCAATATGAACTACGCTTTTCTTTTTGTCTTTGATTAGTTTTATGTCTTGCCGAATTTGATGACCATAAAATTTTCTTCATTTTCACATTTGTGTTTATATGTGTATAACCCAATATATAAAGCAACCTCAATTGCTTCAAACGCATAGATCTACATATTGACAATGTAGTCCGATTGATGTATCCTTTTTATAAACTCTTTTTTCAAACTGAGTATCTCGAGTAGCTTTTCGAGGAAGTATGTGTTTTTCTTTCTTAATGAAAGCCAAGTTAATAAACTTTGCTCGATGCATGTTGACTAGTAATTAGATGTTTAATTAGGGTTTTGTAGAGGGTACCTAGGGTTGCTATATTCGGTCGAAGGTAGTCTACGTCTTTACATACATGTCTATTTAACTGACACTCACCGTTCCAATTGCAAATGTATATATATAGAACATGGAGGTAGGGGAACTTCTAAACCAACCCTAATCCTCCAATATAGAACCCTTCGTATGTAAAAAGAATTCGTCCCCTTCATGAAAAATATGGGGATTAGAGCTTTGAATAAATAAATAAATAAACCGAATACAACTTGTTCTTAGGTATGTGTCGAAAACCAAATTTCAAAGGATAAATATGTCAAATCTCCAACAAAATTCTTGAATTATGGTACTTTTTATATATCCAAGCTTAATTATATAGAACCATAATTGTGAAAGATATCTATTATAACATGAAATCTAACACATATAATAGTTTTCCTAATCATTCATAACGGAATAAAGCCAAACCTTAATGTCTTTAGGATGCATATTCATACCTTAATCAACTTAAAAATTGCAACATGTTTCAAATACAAAAGGTGAGGGATTAAACCTCCACTTTGTAATTCATCTTACTGCATCACATAATAGAATTCACCTTCCGGATGAAGAGCCATCAAATTCTTCCCATTTTTCAAGAGAACCAGAAGAGCTGGAAGAATTTCCAAAATGTGACTGAAATCTTGGAAGCCCTTGTTCTTGTTGCTGTGGAAATGCTAGTGTAGATACCATTGGTATATTTGTTGAGAACGGTGGAACAAACGACATCCCTCCTGGGTAGATGCCCGAGGATCCATAGTACAAATTATTGTTGTTGTTGTTGTTATCGACTCTCCCAGGTGTAGTGAGATAACCTCCATACTGAGTAAATCCTTGAACTCTTTCAGGGAAATTGAGCTTGGCTTTGTTTCCTTTAAATTCAAGTGCTGCTTTGTCATATGCTAGAGCTGCAGCCTCTGCAGTTTCGAAAGTTCCAAGCCATACTCTTGCTGCCTTCTTAGGATCGCGTATTTCTGCAGCCCACTTACCCCATGGACGCTGCCGGACTCCTCTATAGTGTCTTCTTCTCTGGTTTTCATTTCCTTCACATGCACGGGTCTAATAGTTAAAATCTTATCTATTATACTGTCGAGTACAGTGCATGGCAAAACCCTATGTCGAGTATAATTTCTCTTGTAAAAGCAAGTATTTTTGTACCTTGTTGTACGGGTTGAGGCTGGATTTGCACTTCTGCATTACTTGAATCAGATAGGGTTGATGGATTTCCAGGCAGAGAAGCAAGATTTGTGTCTGTATTTCCCATAACTTGGGAGAGAGCAGAGACTATAGCAGACATGTCATGTTGCGATTGAGCCGAGTAATTTGGAAATGGATCTTCATCTTCATCAGCAGATTCATTGGAAGGGAGAGGCCTCTTTCCATGCCTTCCATCCACTGTTTCACCTCTTTTCATCCCTTAATTGCTAATTCTTTAAATGAGTAAAATAGCTCACTTTCAACTATAATGAGATCGAAGAAGCTCCTGATAGAGAGAGTTATATATATGTGCGCCCACGCAAAAATCAACAAGGAAATATAAAAGAAACAAGATAAAGTAGCCAGGAACAAAGAAAAGATTAGGGTTTGCTCCATTATCATCTTTGCTCTTGTAAAAATTTCATTCTTGGTCTCAAATTGTCTCTGAGGCAAGTTGGTCCTCAACTTTAGAAGGGATCAAGTTGGTCTCCCACTTTCACCATAGTTATGCACTCAATCTTCAATATTGATAGATATTGTTCAGAGCTTTATTAATTGTTACATGACACTCGTGAATGTCTTCAAATTTTTTTGTACCTATAAAAGTTAAAGAAACAAAATCTAATTTCATAAAGTTGGACATACGAGAGTTATGTGATTAGTTAATAGAGTTTTGACCCTTTTTATCATTGAGGGCTAGTTGCTTAACTATAAAGTTTATAGTTAGAGGTTAGGAATCATTTTGCTCATTTGTAAAGGTTAAAGATTAACTTGCTATTGAGGATATAGATTGATAATCCATGATGAAAATTTTCTGATTAAGATGTGAAAATGCTTTTCTTTTTTTCTTTTTTTATGGCGGTCTTGCAAATTAAAATGACAGGATGCGTCTTTTTCTTCGTAGTAATAATTAGGAAAGGACTAAAATAGATTAACAAATCAATTTTTCCAGTTTTAAGTTTGGCCCTAAAATTTATTTATTTTTAGTATATATATCTATAATAACTACTATAATTAAAAATAGTTAATAATGGTAACAATCGTGATAAAGACGATGTCGTATAAAACCATTTGTAAAATGAATAACGACGAAATTGTTGGATTTTTGATACCCAATAAATCCTGAGCTATGATTTTAAAGTGGATTAATTATTTCATAGGCACAGGCTGATGAATGAAATAAATCCAACAACCAAGTTCATGAGCTCCACCTGGTCCAATTGTATTTCATCTTGGATGGCTTGAATCTTGGTATGTTTAAATCCCTTAGAGGTCCAATTAAAAGTCTAACCCTAGAGTATATAAAGTTATAACTCTAGCCACTTTTCTTATAAAATTTGTGTGATTTGTGAGAAAAACAAGAGGAATCCCGGCTGCCCCCTTTGGTATGTGAAAAATAGCCCTTAGAAGTGTTCAAAATGTTCGTTTACTTTGTGTATTTGTTGGTTTCTTCATATCCTACCTTTGTGGCGTCTTCTCATAGCCTTTGTGGCCACAAATCATCACATTTTCTTGTCTTACATGGATAAGATCAAATAGTAACCGTTGTGAATTATATTGGTTGTGGTTTGGAGCCGGTTGAATTGGTTGTTGGTAGAAAAAGATACGTTGGATTGAGCCCAAAAAATATCGAATTGAAGATCCTTGGAGAGAGCTTCCATGACATTTAGTGTCAGAGCTTTAAGGTGGTGGCTTTAGCTCATGAAATATAGCAAAAAACGTCTTGAAAACCAGCAGAAACGCAACAAAAATCAGATCGAAGAAGCTATCCAAAAAACTGTGCATAATTCAGATCTGTTCGTGCATTTTTTGACCAATCCAGAAGGAGTTTCGGGAAACGGAGACCACTGGTGTAACGTATAGGTGGTCGCGGTGTCGGTGTCGATCTCAGAAGTCTGGTGCATGAGGTTCCCCAACAGCTCGTGAGGCTCTCCGTGGGCGCGCAAAGAGGAAAAGTGACTCATGAGGGCGCGTGGCACACTTTCTGGCAACGAGGTCTTCAAGCAGTTTGTTCCTCATGTTACATTGTGTGTTCCTAATTGTTCAATGAGAGTTGTTAGTAAGGGAAGCACATACCGGGGGTTTAATTTGACATTTTGGAAGAAGACCTTAGAAATACTAGGTGAGCATTTTTATTGGCCTAAAATAAAAATTGATGTTAATTAGGTTTGAAGTAGATGCATAACTTGTAAAAAAGTTAAATTTAAGGTTTTACCTCAAGGATTGTATACAGCTCTATCCGTCCTCAGTAAGCCTTGGGTTAGCATTTCTATGAACTTTGTTTTGGGTTTGACTAGAACTAAGAAAGGACGAGATTTGATATTTGTGGTGGTAAATAGATTTAGTAAAATGGCACAATTCATTCCATGCCATAAAACTGATGGTGCTAAAAACATTGTGGACCTTTTCTTTAAGGAAGTAGTGCGTGTACATGAGATTCCTAGGAGCATTTTATCGGATAGGGATGTTAAATTCTTTAGTCACTTTTGGAGAGTTTTGTGAAATAAGTTAGGTACAAAGTTATTATTTTCACAACTTGTTACCCGCAAACCAATGGACAAACTAAGATAGTTAGTAGGACCATGATAAATGCTACACACTATAGTTAACAAAAATTTGAAAAGTTGGGAAGAATGCTTACCATTTGTTGAGTTTGCATATAATAAGGCCACACATTCTACTATTTCTTGTTCACCATTTGAAATTGTATATGGTTTTAATCCACTAACACTTTTGGATTTAATTCCATTACCTATTAACGGACGTAGTTTAGATGGAAAGAAGAGTACTGAATTGGTAAGATCACTCCATGAAAAAGTAAGGATATAAATTGAAAAGAAAAATAAACACTATGCATCGCAAGCCAACAAGGGCAGGAATAGCATTGCATTTGAACTCGATGATTGGGGTTGGGTACAACTGAGAAAGGAACGCTTTCCAGAACAAAGAAAATCAAAGTTCCATTTCAAGTTCTTGAAAGGATTAATGACAACGGCTACAAACTAGGTCTTCCTAGTAAGTATAATGTTTCAGCTACCTTAAATGTGTCTGTTGATAATGTGATACAAGCAACGAATACAAGTCCGAGCAAAAACCTATCAATCATTGAAAAAGGTCCCATGATTTGGTCTCAAGCTAAGAGGGTCAAAGAAGCGATGGGATAACTTATGCAAGCTAAAATAGACGAAACGTTGATGTTGCAAGCAAATGGACAAATTTAATGCTGAGGTTGGAAGGAGAAACAAAGTCGAGCAACTTAACTTAGTTGACGGAAAGAGACCTGGCGGGACCGCATAGTTGATCATGGCATGCGATTGCATGCCTATATGCAAAAACTCCAGACACTGCTTTGAAGACTTCTATGCGACCGCACCCAACATAACTATCTGATCGCATAGACATACCTAGCACTGAGAAATTTCCAAATTCGCGAGATCTTTTATTTTGGTTAAAACACTACTTTTTGGTATCTTTGTAATCTTTAGAACTTTTATTCCATTTTTAATTAGGTTTACATGGGTTACCTATAAATAGGACCTATTATTCACATTGTAAAGATTCATTATTATAAATTGCGAGATTATTTTGTGAGCAATACTTGCTTTCAATTCTTTGTTTTTCATTGAACAATTCCGAACTTATCAAGATTTGATTCTTGTGGCGTTCAAACTTTTCCGGTGAGATTTCCAAGTCTTGTGATAAAAAGGTCAACATATTGTCGGAGACTATTGGTTGCTTGGTTTAATATTTGTGGATCAAACTCAAAACTTTGGTTTCTTGGCTTTCTTGGATTGTGATTCAATCTCATATGGGTTTCGTAGCTTCAATTGCTATGTGAGTTCCCATCAGATGTATAACTAACTAAAAGTTGGGACTAACTATGTTACCTAGATTTTAACTTTAATTTTATTTATTATACTGTGATCTATTATTTATGATTGAGTATTATTTTTCTTCTTTTCTTGACTTTAAATTACTTGATCACTAATTCATTGGTCTGTAAATGATATTCAGCTGAGAGGTAAGTTATTTGTTTAGATCACGTAGTTAAAATTGAAATTTGGGTGGGGATATATTGATACTAATTTCGTGGTCCTTAATTAAAATCTTTGGTGAAATGTTCTTAACGAAGTCCCAAATTTGATTTGGATATTAAAAAAAAAAAAAAAAAAAGTTTAACAAATTCTATCAACCTTTCAGCCATATCATCTTTATCAAAATCTATTAAAAATTTTATTTCTTGCAAAATGATATAGGGGCTAAGGCTTATTCTAATTCACCTAGAGATATAGTGAAGTGACTTAATTGAATAAGATTGGTTGAACTAGAGAGTTAAGTAAATTAATTAAAAGAATTTAACCAGACACATATAATTTGTTATACTTGAAATTTGGTGATTGAGATATAGAGTTAGCTATGGTGAACTAGTAAGTTTTAACACTTTCATGCATCAAGTAAATCCTAAATTATCAATTTGCACAATTTTAATTTATTTTTGTAGATTTATAATATTTAGCCCCTTGTTTGGTTTGGATTAAAAATATGATTTTAATCTAAGTTAAAATCAAACAATCAATATTAATCATACCATTCATGAGTCCCACAACTTTTCCACCACGCATTTCAAAAACTTCTATTACAATCTACTAAAAATCTAATTTTAATCACCGCCAAACACCCTCTTAGAATTATAATTAAAATCAGTCTCAAATGTTTGTACTTGCATAGAAGTTAAAAATAGTTAAATCAATAGTTAGATATATAAGTATCACGTGAACGATATTTCGTACTCTTAGGTCCACTTTACTATTTTACTAATTGATATCGTACCTTTGCCTCATAAAAAAAATAAATAAATAAAAAATAAATAAATCCGCTGCGAGTTTTTATCGTTGGTTTTGTTTCTAACTTTTTTTTTTTTTATTTTTTGTATTTGTTCTTTTTCCTTTTTAGCTAATCTACTCGGTTTTATAGGTTTCATAGGCGGATAAGGAACAGAAAGAAGTAAGAGACCTACTGACATATGTGACTAAAGATCCCGACAATGATGATGAAGACATGCTTATGGTAGATTTTTTTTGCCATGATACAATTTAAAAGGACAGGATATGATAAACGTGTAGAAGTTGATGAAGATGACTTGTCTGTGTGATTGTTTCTCCCACCAATCTTTAGGGAGCATGAATTGTTCTTGGAAGAATTATGGGAATCACCTCTATTGGGCTTTCAAGTACAGGGTGTTAACAAGGTCCAGATGGGTCTGATATGTGAAAACTATAAGACTATTCATTATATTGAGAATTGGTTGTGTGTGGGTTGGACAGCCTTGCTGTTATTCTTGACACTTATTTAAAATTGTTTATGATTCATAAATTTTGACTAGATATTTCTACTTTTCTTATTTTGTCAGTATCCTTATCCATGTGAGATTGTGATAATCCTTGAGCAAAGGATGATCATTATTTCTGGGTAGGTTACACTGATAGAATATGTTGAATACATTTTGGACTTTAGTTGTTAAAATCAAGATCAAAAATATAATGTTTTTGAAATAACTGGCCTCTATTTCATTGATTTCTG